CTACTGAAAACAGAGACATTTACAGTTTTAACTGTTTTTCTACTACACACCAACTCCAACACGAACAATGAATCATTTAAAGTTCCCTCAAAGCCTCCACACAAGAGGAACTGCCTTCCAGCCATTATCAAATGGAGGAACAAGCCTTCAACCGATTTTATAAGTGACCTACGCCAACACTGGCTGCGTGCCCACTCCTGCAAAGCTCCAGCTCAAGCAATCAGCCCTACAGAGCTACAAAGCAGGCATGTCACCCCTCAGAAACTTGAAGGGAGGAGTTTGCAAGCAGAAGATTACAACAGCTTCTTTATAGGAAAGATAGGTCTTGGGAGTAACTCAGTGACATCGGCCTCAGCTGCTAACTTATTTCCTTCAGGAGATCACAGTCCCCATCCCTGAGCTGATACAGTGCTATTGCACTACAAAGAGCTGGGACAAGGACTGCTTGCAGCCCCCACATCCCAAGAGCCTCACATTGACTTTTCCCAACGCATGCCTCTATGTACATGAATGCTTTCAGCATCTCAGGATACCCTCCCTGTGATGTAGCTTAACTGCATAAGCTATCTTGAAGAGTTTCTCAAGATCATATTCTAAGCCACATCAGTTGTCCCTCAAAAGTGCAGTGCATATTTAAATCTTCCAATTGAAACTGGTGTAACACAGAGATATGTTTATTTAGAAACCACAGAAACAGGAGCTCAGTAACCAGTTCTGCCACTGGCATTCTTCTGAACACCGGTCAAGATACCAAGGTTGGTCGCCGAGTGTTTTGTATTCAGTTCACAAATATACTTGGGCACAAGCTTAACCTTAGCTTACTAATATATATCTATTTTAAATATATAGCTTAACTCATAGCTATATTCACGAGCAACGTGCTACATTATTTTTGGCAGGCAAAGCTTTTTCTGGCTCAAAAAAACCTGACACGCCGGATAAGAAGACAGCCAAAGTCCATACCAGCTATCGAACCACAAAACTACTTCCACCAGGAAAAACGTGGTCATTGTTTTATTTTTACTGAACTGAATTTTCATGTATTGATGGAAGCTGCACAGTGTTCTCTGATGAGGAATCCATATGGATTGCTATTAAAGTATACTGCAGAGACCATTTGTGGGCCATAACAGGTACCATTGATATCTACAAACCTGAGTTGCACCTGAAGCTATTAAAACTGAAAAAAAATTAGACAAGTGATTCTTAATAATCTATTTTAATGTTATTAATAAACAAAAGCATGCTTGTATTTTCACGCAAAGAACTACAATTACTACACAGAGAAACAGAAAAAATGTAGTAAGAAAAATCTAAAAAAAAAAGTACTCAAATTACATAATTCAGGGAAGATCAATTTATTTTGGGGGTATACCTGAGGCTATGGGGGCACAGGAATGGGATGAAAGTGTTCTTCCCTACTGTCCACAATTACAGGCTAGAAAGTACTTGTGCCACTAGCATAATGGGCAGTATTCTATAGATTTATTTATACTAAATGTCTGTAAATAACTAATGCTAAAGACGCATTCAAAGCCTTAAAATCAACACTTTAGGCACCTGGGATAATTGACATAAGTACAAATTTTATTTTTTTTTTTTAACGGAAAGGAATCCAGACACCCACTCAATACATACCTTTTGTTCTCTTACTTACTGTCAGAATCAAAATTTCCCATAACTAACTCATACGAAACACTAAGAATAAGTACTGTTTTTCTTGGGTTTAAACTCCTCAAAAATCAACAATGACAAACATGCTGATCCACAGAAAAATACCGAGAAATATTTTGATACAGCATCACAGACAGTTACACCAAGTTGAAGTGTCTGTGGTGTTTCTTCCTCTTTAAATGAGGAGGATCAGTCTTTCAGAAGTTGTGAGCAGGTCTCCAGTCTCACAATATGAGGAGTGTATTTGTGTCGCAGCTGTCCTGAGTCCCTTAATAGACTAAGCTTTTCACCAAATGCTGTGGTACTGTAGCCACTGATGCCCCATTGCAGTTTGGCAAATCTGCTAACTCCTAAGGCACCGATAACTTTGCTTGTAACTGTTTGCTTCTGATCTAATCAAACAAGAACTGAACAGTACATAAAGGTGTATGAAGTCTGAAAAAATTGTACTATTAAAGAACATTTCCCAGAACACTTTATCTAAACATCACTAAAATAACAAAAAGCGCTCAAGGCACATACTAATATTGCAATCACTTTTCAAAATATTCTATTGTAAAAGTACAAGATGTGATTTATTTTTTGATGCAAAGACTACAAGTGAATAAGGAACAAGTTCAAAAGTACAGAATACCACTACATGCAATATGATGTTCCAAAATAGTTTAAAAGATTTTAGGATAGTTTCAGATTTGCAACAGCTGAATGATTGCAATAGATTGCCAGAACATTAGACTTCATCTGTAACTTCATACTAATTTAACTGAATTTTTTTTTAAAGGGTGATTTTCCATACAGTTCTTTTCCTTAAAAAAAAAAAAAAAACCCCACACCACAATTGAAAAAAGCCAGCTTACCCAGCTAGATAAAAGATGAGCTGGCAGATCTTGATAACCACATACTAATTGCCACATACTAGTTCTGACTCAACAAAATCCTATAAGGACAAATTATTTTCCGCAGTTCGGTGAAGTTTAAGAACATTTTGAGTGTCATTGGTGAATATTTACTGTGTTGCCAATTGCATTTCCTTTTCAAAGGGCAAAAGGTTTGCTATGTTCTGTTCAATGAAGCATTTCAACCATAGGCTTTACTGAACCTACACTTATGCATTAATTTCCTTTCAGGAAAGGCATTAGAATGCTCTATGTTTTGCAAAAGCACATCTTTACTGAGTCAAATATAGCAACATCAGAAACATGCAGACAAAAGATGGAAGAGACAAAAAGTATTAATACAGAAGTTAGATTTAATTTTGTTACTGAGAGCAAGTATTCTGGGTCCCATACTTGAAAAAAAGGGAGGGGGGGGGGGAAAGAGACACCCCTCTACCCCTACCCACAACTGAGATGTCCAAATGGTTCTTCCTCTCCTCCTTTCAGTGAGCTATTACCTATTTATTGCCTTTTTTGGGAAGTATATAAAACCTTCAGCTACTGTGAACACCTCCACTTCAGGCATGTTTTGTTCCCCTCACCCCGTCTTGTTTTAAAGAAGAAAAAATTACTCAATAAGCCAAATATCACAGAAATAAGTTCAACAAATAAAGATGACTCTAAATCCGTAACCCTGATTCCAAACACCTATTTCCTTGAACAAAGCAGTGGATTTTTTAAAAATTATTATTTCCACAGAACATTTAACAGAAAACTATTATAAAACAGGACAAGAGATTCTGAAGATAAAACTCCAAAGAATTTTATATTACACATTTGAAATAAATATAAAATTTGGGCCACAGTCGGTAAAATACAAGCTTAATTTTCAGTAGAAATTTTAGTAGAAAAATTGGAATAATTTTACTGTGATTAAGTCTATAGTTTGATGAATTATTGACTTTAGGATTGTGTGTGTGTTTTGTTTTTAGATTAACAGCCATTTCAAGAACATTTTAATTTTGCTACCTACACGTACACCTACCAAGTACAAAGAAAACTTACTGAAGTTTCTACTCCAGAAAATTATTACAAAAGACTTCTCACTGTTAGTCTTTAAATGTAAACACAAAATGTTCAAGACTGTCCTCTGATCTGTTGGAAAGGCCAGGGTTATAAATTTGTCCATTACATTTAAAGGCATATATCAGATAACTTGAAAATATAGCGCAAAAGCCAATAGTAGCATCTCAGAGTTTCTATTCTAGTACTTCAGAATTTCCTTTTCAGTTTCAAGGAAACTAAAGTCATCTGCAAAAACATATGTAGATGTTAAACTTAAGACTGGATTGCATTTTTAATTCTAACTGGTTCACCTGCACTTTATTAAACAAATTAAGTCTAATTTCAACATCTGATAACACTTCATTGAATGAGCATTTAACAGAACTCACAGCAAAAATCAAGGCACACGAGGACTTTATACATTGCTGTTTGAAGGTTACAAAATGTCAATAATTATCCTTCATAACCTCCTTCTGAAGAAGGTAACATTATTTTTATTTTATAAACAGAGAATTTGAGTGAGAAATAATAAATCCACGTGGTAAAGTAATGAATGAAAGTCAGATTCCCAGTTTTCTGCTCCATGCTACAGCTACTACAATGCTGAAAGTTCATTCAGTGTTCTGCCACTTTGCTTTTATTTTTTTGGTACAGCTGTAGTGAGGTTTCATTTTATTAAAACTTTCTGTTAATAAATCTCTGCTAAGCCACAGAGATCAACTACAGTTACTAGAAACAGACAACAGAGTACCTGAATTAACAGGAAGAAGACAGCCCAGAGTCTACCACTAAATGAATCCTATAGAAAACATCAGCTCCACTAGGTTACCTCAGGTCTTCTGAGCCAGCCCAGGAAGTTACTCTACACATAATCAATGCAATTCTGTTCTACTCTCACTGAAAACCCACAGGTATACAAATCTTCTTTCTTCTCAATACTTTATAAGCTATTGCTTAGTTTTTACAATTCAGACAATTATAATATTATGCCTGCTCCACCTCAGGCTATGGATGGCCGCTGCTCCTCCACACCTCCCCACACCGCCACATCCTTCCTACAGCACCTTCAGGGGAAAATATCCCAAGTCAAAACAGTAGGTAGCAGGAGGTGGAAGCCAAAAAACAGTGGTTGCAATAGGTAGTGCTTAATAAATAATCTGAGCTTATCCTTATTTCTTCTCTTTTCTTTTTTTGAAAGTAAGAGCTAAAACTGATTCGTCTCACTCAGATCACTGAAGGAAAAAGACTTGCTATTTAATCACTCATCCAGCAGTTTAAAAAAAATAATTACAAGTACTATACTGCATGAAAACAAAACCAAGCACTACATCCAGTTCACTTGTTATCTTTAGTTACGAAAATAACCACTGAACTTGAACCACTCACCTCTGGCACACTGTTAAAAGGATCCAGGCAGTGAAAGGCAGGACTCTCAAGTTATGTACACCACTGTCTGAAACAACAAACACCACATATTTTATTTTCAGCACTAAACTTAGAAGAACTCTAGCTAGGTAATTTAGTTTTCATTCTATCAATATCTCCTAAGAGATGCTGAAGAGCAGGCAGAATAGCTCTAACAGCTCTTGATCCACCTGTTTACCATAAATAGAATCCATCTTCATATTTAACCTTTCTCAATGAATACAAGATCAATTGAACTGTAGACCATCCCAACCATCTGGGAAAGAAAGCAACTATAAACCCAGTTATCACAATACAGAGAAAAAGTTTCAGAAAGATTACATTTGAAAAAGCACCACTATTTACTGTTTCTTTCACTTTTACACTAGTCAGTTTAACTCGCCTATACTTCCTAAGAAAAGGGAAACGCTGTTACATGTCGAAAACAGGTACATCAGCAACTGAGGTACATCAGCAAAAGCATAGCCAGCAGTTTTGCGGGACATGACTGTTTACACCCAGGAGGCACTCGCACACATCAGGATGTATAATCCATCTGGATTACTACTGCAATGTGGTTTGGGGCCCTCTGGCACAAGAGATACTGACCCAACAAGAGTCAGCTCTGAAGAAGGCAGTGAAGTTGGTCAGAGCGCTGAAGAACTCCCTCCATGGAAATTCTGGCTGGACATAAGGAAGAAAGGTTTCACCAGGAGGGTGGCTAAGCATAGCCACATGCCTCCTGAAAAGGGATCATCTGTCTTCCTGAGGAAGTCTCAAATTCACCTGGACACAGCCCCAGCTGCAGCCTCAGCCCTGCTGGGAGCTGGACTGCAGGGCCTTCGGAGGTCCCTCCAGCTTCCAAGGTTCTGCTAGGTATTTCTAGCCACAAAAGTAACCTTTCAGAAGAGACTTCAAAATATTTAAACATTTGTTTCTGTTTTTAATGACACTTCAAACTCTATAGGATGCCTGAAAAATTCAGGCAGTATAAATCCATTAAGATCTAATTCAAAGAGAAGGAAAAAATTCTGAACGTCCTCCTGCACTGCAGTCATTAGCTCACAAGGACGACAGATTACAACTCCTACTCGAGGCCACTCATGCACAAACATTTTTTGTTTAAAGTCTTCTTTGAACAGATTCCAATCAGTTGCCACTCTACAAAAGCATCCTACAAAGAAATTCTATTAAAAAGGGCAAGTCATCCAATGACTCCATAAGTTACAATGAAGGGGGAAAAAGGTATCAACAAATGTATTAAAAATACCTTACACAGATGTTTAAAAGTGAGATTTAGACTTCTCCATGTTAATAAGTGGAGTAACAACTACCAAAACCACAGTTTGACATACATTTAAGCATAAACATATTGTCAGGGGTTAAAGCACTAGAGTCCCTGTCCCCTGGCTCCCCAGAAGCTGCAAGGGGAGCCAGAGCACTGCTGGCCCTCCCAAAACATACACAAGGAAAAAAAAATGGAGGGCAGCAAATTGTGAGGAAGCATTATTCAAACAGAAGAGTCTCCTGATCCAGTTCAGCACCTGAATTGAAGATATGCCTGTGACAGCAGAGAGCAGACGGGACTGGAAGGTGACCTATTCCCTTCTCCTCTGCCAGGATGCTGGCTGGAACGCCAGCTGCCCCATCACCCAAGACAGGTTTTCAGCTTTCCACAGACACAGACCATGGGCAATCACACTTTGCTATATCAATGTTCCTACCCAGTTACAAACCTTAACTGTGTTCTCACTGAAAACTGCTTTATATTCAAAATTACAAGACATATCTGAAGTAAATGGGAAAAACATTTTAATAATTGAAGCAAAACTAAAACCCTGAGGTAGGACATATCTATTTTCCTGCCGGCTGAATGTTTTGTAGCACATTTTTCTCCTGTCAATAACACAAGAATATTTTTAATATTAAGGGGAAAAAGTGAGAAAATAAAACTAATTTCATTTTTTTTACAAGACCTTCTGAAGAGTACTACCTTTCCCCTTCCTACCTCACAAATCATCTACTGCCCATTACCATCTACCACTGAAGTACTGTACCAAGCTTCTGACTGTTTGGGGGGGAGGGGTTCGGTTTTGTCCTTATAGAAACACTCAACACCTCTCTCAGCTATTACTCTCACCTTCAAAAACAGTACTGTTAATCATCAATACCTGAAAAACTAATCTTGTATTTATTAGTCAACAGGAGAGGAAGTATAGTTGGGGAAAATAAGAGTCAAATTCCATCTAAACACATAAGAAAAAAAATGAGTCGTGTTTATCTCAATATAACAATGCTAACTTCCTTCGGCACAGCAAGAACGGTATTAGTTTCACAGCTCAATTAACATACAAAAGTAGCTCAGAATATTAATGGTGATAGTGGAAAGAGTTAAAAGAAGAAAACATGCAAGAACACCTCATTCTTACCAACACTTTGATTAAAATAAAACTGTTAATCTAACAGACACACGGATGCAAGATGCAGACTGGACTGTGTCCTCTCTGGGGTCAATTCTGTTGCATTTTGACTTCCATTTCTATTTTTCTCCTGGTAGAAGAATTTGCTTTGCTGTGCAAGAGCCAGAAGAAGTTTTCTGCTACAAGTCACACAAAGAGTCACTTCCCCAGAAGAGTAACCAATTTCCATCACACACCCCCGCGGCCCAAAGCTTTGCCTGCAACGTTGTGACTTGCAGAGTGACTCAAACCCAGGATGGAAACCTGGACCACAAATAATTCGCTTATACTTTCAATACGTTATTTGAAACAATCTTTCAGTTATAAAAGTTCAAGATCTTTCTTCGCAAAGGGCAGTAAATGGAAACACTGGTTAGGGTTTGGGACTATCTGCCCCCAGGCAGAGGGTTTGCACTGTACATGGGGTTTTCTGGTTCTGCTGCTGTGTCCTACCAGCCAGGACTCTAGACAGCTGTATTGAACAGCAAAGCCAGACTGGGGAATGAACAGTTAACCTTTGAGAGTACAAAATAATCTCCATCAACCTTCAGAAGCCTTGGAGCACACGGCAAACACTTCCTGTCCACCCAAAAGACAAATTTGCACAACATTGGAAAACTTGGGAAATGTAGTTAACAAATTTTTTGAAAGACAGCAAGGCAAATGGAAGCACAAGAGATGGGAAGTCGTGTCCCATGGTATCACCAGTGCCCATCACTTCTGTACCCATTTGTCTTATCTCAGTCCTAACACCAATACTACCGCAGCAATGTCAGCCCTGCTGTGTGCAAAGTGCCGCGGTTCCGTACCACTCATGACTGCCTTCATATCCTACACTTATCATGAGGCCCTGAGCAGAGGAACAGAAGACAACAACAAACAGGAATGGCAGAGTACAGGATGAATATGTGATTACAAGCATGCAAGGTAGAAAGACAAACCTGTGTACATTTGAACAGCAACCTCAGTTACTCTCATTTGTTTTCTAGACAAAGGTCCTCCTACGACAAAGACTATACAAGTCCCACAGTGCTTTTTAGCACTTTTGAATAGTCAAATAACAGTTTGAACCTGATGCTTGAAAACAAGCACCAGAAGATAAATATCAGGAACGTCTAATATAATAAGCACCTTATATTTAACTGTGTAATCTTTAAAGATTACAACCTTAAGAACAAATTAGTGCTCTTGTAATGATTATATTACAAGAAACATCCAAAGTTATTAACCACCTTTCCTTTCACTAATAGCTCTAATGTGCCCCATTTTCTTTATCCCCATGGCTAAAATCCAGATTCAGCCTTACAATGACTATTTCAGTGACAATTCTCTCAGGCTCCCTTCCCAATACCCAGCCACCTCCTATTTAAATTCTGACATGAAACAGATAAAAAAATCTCTTTGATACTTAATATGCTAATACACAAGAATGACCTGATCATAAACCTGTACTGCACAGAGTGGGAATTTTAACTCCAATGGTAAGGCATTCAAGTGACTCTGATAACTATGATAAAATACAACAATTGACATATTACTGGTGACCTTCTGGAGAAAAAAAATGAAAAGCATCACATTAATACAAATTCTCCTGTGGAGAAGATCAAGCTGGCAATCTGCCAGTTCATTACACCATCTAGCTCCACTCCAACATTAAATATTGCCTTCCCTTGTAATTGACTGAAATACACTGGAGCAATTGCAGGTAACCACTTTGGGCTATTAAAGTATTCCATTAAGACTTCTCCATTAGACAGATATTTCAAATGAAGTTACATCAAAATAGGCTATGTTCAAAATATTTAACTATGCAGACAACTGGGCAAGTACAATCCAGTTCCTCAAAGCAGCAGACAGATCAGTCTAAGCACTCAAAAGCTCAATACCCGAACTTGATTAAAGGAAAAAGAAGCACACCAAGTTTATTCAAGTATATTGTAACCTTCTAGTAATATATATTCTCACAAAACTCAATATTGCCTTCTTCTAAAGCTAAGAAAATGGTAATGTTAAAATGTGCAACTATTCTTTAACTTGGATAAGTCAAGGCATTTGCTGAACATTTTAAAACTAAGTATGAAACACAGGGAGAAAAGACAAAGCAGGACTGGATTCACAACGTATTTAAGGTTTCAAAAAGGCAGCAAATTGCCATGTTGCATTACAATGTGTAAAACATTCTGAAAAAAAATATAAATTAGATTCCTTTCATGCTATATACTCTACATAACTAAGCTTTTCTTCTCTTGAGATTGCAGTTCCTTAATGGCAAGGAAGCAAGTGAAATGGGGCACAAGAACAGGTTCATTGCCTTGCATGCAGAAAAGGCTGCCAGATACTTAAAACACTGGAAAGGATTTAAGCCTGTATGCCTGCTGTGAAAATTTGACTATCCTTTGAAGCAAAGACAAACTTCTGTGTTTAAATGGGCATTCTTAAGTGGCCTAGGTTTGGAGCCATCACCAGAGGCTGTAAGGGTTAGCCTAAGAAATTTGGCTCTTTTCTGCATGGGCAGGAGTTCTGCATCTTCTCCGTGCTGCTATCTGGCATGCAAGAGGTGTAGTACACCTCCCAGCCATGCTGTCT